ACTTCTGGCTGCTATTTAAACTGCATCCTTTTTACATACAATAGCTTAAACACAGCAAATTACCAGTAAATTCATGGAGATTTATCTTTCTGGCCTGCTAGAAGAAGCCCCCACCCACGGCTCTCTCTGGTAATTAACTTGCTACTCGTCACAGCTGTGGTGGTACTTGCAGCTTCCAAAACTTAAAGGGACAAGGTAAGAGAAGTAAAGTTACCTGCCATCTTCTCCAGTTTTCTGTAAAACAACTTCTTTTTGAACCACATGAGCCTGTGTCACACTGAGCAACACCAGTTTTCAGTACAGTGAGGGTAGGTTTACGCAGGGGGCCAAAACCCACAGAAAGCAGGAATCCAAAGGCTGTGCAAGTCAGCTGAAGGAGAACCATCTTCAGCCCTTCCCAAGTGTGAGGCCAGATGTGGTTTATCTGTGCTGTACAGGTGTATACGAACTGGCTGCTGCTTGAGCTCGGTGAGTAGCTTGCACTGCTGTCCAAATAACCATGCTGCTTCTCCAGAGATGTCTTTTTTTTATGCTCTCCAGTAATAAAAAAGAGAAGCTTCTTCTTCCAAACCATTCTATGATTCTAAGCTGTAACACCTCTAGCAAATTATCTGACCAAGCCTATCAGGAGATTTGATGGGACTCAGCTTACAGGATCAGCATCTGGAACAGCGATGTGGCCAATGTCAACAGAAGACACGGCTGATCCTCACTCTCTTACCTACATGCTATGTGAGCTCATCAAGAAGGTTCTTACCTTACCTTTCTCTTTCAGTCCTCTTGCATTCATAAGGTCTCTTACCCCTTGAAAGGGCAGCTACTCTCTCCTAATCATTGTAGCAAAAATTTCCTGCCTGGTCTGGTGTCTGAGCTCGGTATTCCTGCTGAAGCAGCTAACCAAACACTGAGCTTGCTAGTATATTTTGAAGAAGAAGAAAAAAAAAAGACACATTAAGCAATCATTTAAACTGAAAGGGACAGTAACAAATGGCAACATTTCCCCAGATAAAGACTCAGGTGTTGCCATGCTTGACCTTAGATACCTGAGTTAGCATTCCCAGGCCTCTGCTCTATAATCAGCAGAGTCAGACAGATGCTTGCAGAGGCTGAATCGGAGGAGAGATGAACTTAAGTGCTCTGAAATGCCTATTCAAGGACCCCTCTCCCTTCAATCACTGAAGTCCTGCAGAGATAAGCCTCCTTGAACATACACTAGATTTAAGAGACCAGAGTTAAATCAATACACATGAGAATCCCCCAAGTTATATAACTAACAAAAGTTTCCAGGCTTGCACATTAGAAAACTATTATTTCAAATTACACGTGCTTCAAGGACCCAAAGTCTAACTCCTTCAGTGTGAAACCCCTCTTATTCTTTCTGAAGTCTTGAGTTTGGAAAAGGGCATAATACCATGTTGAAAGACAAGGGACCTCAGACACTGTAGCTGTACAGACAGTTCTGCACAGCATCAACATGTCCAGAAGTGTTCCTTAGCAAGCTGTGAACCCCAGCCTTGTAATCAGAGCTGTGGGAGTTGGAGATGTTTCTGGTGCAAGCCGTGGGCTTGCCTTTAGGAATCCAAGTGGATTTGCTCTTTCATATAAACCACCTTTGTTGAAGTTGGTTTTCCCTCATTTCCCCATCCATTCTCATTTGGTATAAGTATTATCATTGGCTGTGTGTGGTTTGAGGATAACATCTTGCTGATGACCACCTGAACTTAAATAGACTGATGGGGAAATGAAACAAGACCCCCAGGTGAGAAACTTTTCCAGTATAGTTGCCTACAGGCAGTTTAAAGACCAGTGACCTAGAGTACAGTTAAAAAACATGTCCAATATGAATTATCACTGCAAAAACTCAGAAGGCATTTCAAGGATGACAAGAGAGAAGGAAGGGGAGGAGGAGAAGACTGTCCTAGGGTCAAATACTGTTCAATATTAACAATGTGGAGGGCAAAACAGGCAACACATACAAAATTTGTGGATGATGGACAGTAAGCTAAGGCAACTTATGTGGAGTTTGGAGGACAGGGACAGAATTCAAAACAGTCTTAAATTGAAGAGGAGATAGAAAATCCACACGAAGGAATTAAAGATCAGTGCAGACCATTACATGTTAGAAGAAAGGCACGAGTAAAATTCAGGAGTAATTGGTTAGGCTGTAGCTCCTCAGGAAAGGATCTAAGGTTCAAAGTGCAGCACAGGTTGATGATAAGTCAACCCAGTAAAAGGCAAGTGTCATTGGGGCTGTATTAACAACACTGCTGTGTGTAACACCACAGCACTACAGATTTATTGAAGGTGTAAGGTACCTCTGGAGATACTCTAGACCAAAACTCCTCCTCAGGACAGCATCAGCTAGAGCAAGTTTCTCAGGACCACATCCAGTTTGGTTTGGGCTATCTCCAGTGATGGAGATTCCACAACCTATCTGGGCAACCTGTTCCAATATTTGACCACCATCACAGTGAAAAAGTTTAAACGTAATTTTCTGCATTTTGATTTGTGCCCTTTGCCTTTCACCCTGTCAGAGGATGCCATTGGGAAGAGTATGTGTTTGTTGTACTCGGTCCCATCATCTAGGTAATTAGTGAAAATGTTAAACAGTATTGGCATTGTATTTTTACATAGAAAATTCATCCTTCAGACAATCTGCACCTTTTTAACATCAGCAAAAATTGAAGGTATGTTCATAGATAACCCATACTGGCACATTACCAAGGTAACAGAGGCAGAGGGGAATCAGATCTAAGGAAGTTTTGGGGATAGATTGAACAATGTACAGGGGGATCAGAAGCAAGCAGTTACTGAGAAAGAGAGGTCTGGAACAAACTTTTACCCATATTGCCTAGAAACATACATAACCTTCACTGCTGCTGAATCACAGGGGTTTTTTTTGCTTTGTTTTTTTTCTTTACAGATAACTAACCCCTGAAATAATTTTTCCATTCTGACTGGTGCTGGAATTTTGTGTCCAAGTTGGCATACCATGTTTTAAGAAAAATATGTACAAATTTAAGGTAATCCTAAAGAAGCAAGAATTAGCAATGTAGAAAAGATTATTGAGAGGAAAAGTTGGAAAAAGAATGTTGAAAAAAGAAAACTAAACAGTCTTGCAGTGTGCTAACATTCATTACAAAGAGGATGCAAAGGATGAAATTGGCTTAATTTGCAGACA